ACGGACTCGTCAAAGGTGACGTCACGAGAGTGAAAGAAGCGGTGAGACGGGGGGTGGTAAAAGTGCCAGTCGGACGCGTCAAGGGGAAAACCGAGGAAGACGCAGGGAAGGGTGCGGGCAGTGAGCTTGTCCGTGCCGGAGGCACGGACGTGAGCAAGGCAGCCCCAGACGTGGAACGCAGACGCGTCACCAGGAGACCCAGTCCAAAGACGGGTCGGCAAAACCTGCGGCTGCTGAGGGTGCGGCCACAAGTTAAGCTGGTGAGAAGCGTAGCACACATCGAACGGCCACAGAAAATGGGGTGCACTGGCATGGATCATGGAGGTGCGAGCCACCTCCATGACCAAACCGATGCGTCGCTCAGCGACCCCATTCTGCTGTGGGGAGTCCGGTAGGGTGAACGACTGGGTGATGCCCTCCGCACGACAAAAGCGACCAAGGACACCTGAGGCAAACTCGCCACCAAGGTCTGAGTGAAGACGCAGGACAGGGAGACCGCGGTGGACATGCGCAGAGACAAGCTAGGGGATGAGAGCGCCAGGCACGTCGGCCTTGCGCTCGAGGGGAAAGACTGTGGTGTAACGAGTGAAGTCGTCGACAAGCACAAGGAAGTAGCGCTCTCGACGCGACCCAGGGACGGGGGCGGGGCCCCAGACGTCCAGGTCCAGGGTCTGCAGCGGCGCGGCGGTAGGGGGAAACGAGGAGGAGTGAGGGGCACGGCGAAGCCGACCCTCGACACAAGGCGTGCAAGGTGGGGCTGGGGAGGAGGGAAACGCGGGGAGGGAACCTGGGAGACCAAGGACAAGACCGTGCTGGGACATGTGACGCAGACGAGGGAGGGCAGGGTGACCTAGGCGGTGGTGCCAAAGGAGGGTCGGGTGAGTGAGGGACCGACAGGAGCAGGCAGCAGCAACCTGGGTGAGCGCTCCGGCCGGGGGGGTCACGGTGTCCAGAGTGAACAGGCCGGACACTGGGTCCCGGGGGAACGTGGACAGGGGGGCACCAGTGGCGGCCTCGGTACAGACAGCATACCGCTCGTGACCAGGGAACGTAGTGGTGACGCCAAGGTCCTGGAGGCAGCCAACACCAACTAGGTTCCTGGAGAACGAGGGGATATGCAGACCTGTGAGAGTGCCCGAAGGAACCGCCGGACAGGGAAGGTTGGTGGAACTGCGGGCGACTACCGGACCGCCGGAGGGGTCAGCAATAGAAATGGCAGCAGGAACAGGAAGCGGCGTCAGGGTGGTGAAGTCGCGGAAGAAACACCGGGAAGTGCCAGAGTCCAAGGTGAAGGAAAGCGAAGCAGAGGCGTCTGGCAACGAACCGACGGCGGAAGCACCAAGACTACACAAAGCAGGGGATCCTACACCTGACGCAGCAGGGGAGGCTAAGCTAGGCACACCTACACTAGCCGACAGTGAGTAATAAGCGGGAAGCACACTAGAGTCATCAGCATACATCACATGCAAAGCAGAACAATGGCATCCATGTCCATGTCAAAAATCTGAATCTTATGACTAAGCAAACTGTGCCAGTCCGGGAGGTCGGGCGACGGGCCGAAGCGCTGACGAAACAGGTCGTCCAAGCGACGAAAACAGCAGGGAGTGGAGTGACCGATCTTACCGCAAACGAAGCCGCGGCGAGGACCGGTCTGGATCTGGTACTGACAACGCCCGCCTCCAGGGCCACCACTCGGCACACCACCACGCGCCCGGCCACCGCTAGCGCCGGGCCACCCGGGCGGGAGGACACTCGTCTGCCGTGTCTGCGACGGTTGCTGCGGCTGCTGCGAAGGCTGCGACTGCGGCGGCTGCTGCGGCTGCTGCAACTGCAGAGGCGGCGGCTCAGCTAGACTGGGCAGGGTCCCCTCGTCCGCTCCAGCACCAGACGACCCGACCCCACCACCACCCCCTCCCGCACCCCCGCCTCCTCCGCCGCGCCCAACCTTGGGGTGGCGGCCCTTCCCCGAACGAAACTGCGCTGCAGCAGCAGTCTCAGCCACAGCGGCAGAGCCGTCGGAGAAGGTACACTGAGCGGGGGCACAACCCTGAAAGATAGGGACCGGCACGGCACCGCTCGCCTGGGCGATGGAGCGGTGACGGGTCTCAATCACAGTCAGGGTGTCTACAAAGTCAGTGAGGGTGAGGTCTGCGGGGTGAATGCTAAGGAAGCGGTCGCGGGCGACAGCAAGGCGGTCAAGAGGCGGGTGGCAAGCAGGTAAAGGGTAGAGGTAATGGGCGGCTGGTGGGCTCTAAGCTGTGCGTCAGTGCAGGCAGCACGCAATGTCTCATCTATCGAGCGCAGGTGGGCAGCGAGGTCAGAGACAGTGGGGAAAGATGCAAGGTCGGGAAAGAGCAGCGGGAGGATCAAGCAACCCACCGAGGCAGCCGGAGGGGTCGAATAGCGCTTGATGACAGCATCTAAGTATGCCTGAGCAATAGTGAGGGACCTAAAGCAAGGGCGCTCGGACGGGGGAAGGGCGTTGCTAATGGCAAGCTGGGCGACAGCATCGCGAGAGAGCCAGACAGGGCGTGCACGGGCAGTGGCAGCAGTAGACTCGCGCTCAGTGGGTGTGGAGTCAGCGGGCAGAATAGCAGGGGGGTCTGGGCAGGGGAGCGTACCGTCAAGGTGTGCGGAAAGCGGTTCACCATCCTGCCGCTGGCCAGTGAGTTGGCGGCGGAGGTCGGCAAGCCACGCCTCGAACTCCCGAGGCTGGCCTTCAGCGTCGAAGCGAAGCTCCGCCGCCATCAGAGGCAGTGCAGGACGGGACAGTACGGTGCAGTGAAGTGCAGTGCAAAGCAGGGCAGTGCAGGGCGGTGCAGTGCGGGGCAGGGCAGTGCAGTGCGGTGCGGGGCGGTGCAGGGCGATGCAGTGCGGTGCAGGGCAGTGCAGTGCGGAGCAGGGCGGTGCAGGGAGGGGGGGGGGGGGGGAACCGTACCAGTGAGGATGAAGGGGCCGGGGCAGGGATGAGCGCAGGGGCCGGGCCGGTGCAGCGGGGCCCGGCAGACGCTGCGGGGCCGGGCAGGGCGCAACGGGGCCGGGCGGGTGCGACGGGGCCGGGCCGGTGCAACGGGGCTGGGCGAGTGCGACGGGGCCGGGCGGGCGCGACGGGGCCGGGCAGGTGCGACAGGGCCGGGCGAGGGCGACGGGGCCGGGCGGGCGCGACGGGGCCGGGCTGGGGCGACGGGGCCGGGCGGATGCGACGGGGCCGGGCAGGGTGCGACGGGGCCGGGCGGGTTCGACGGGGCCGGCCGGGTGCGACAGGGCCGGGCGGCTGCGACGGGGCCGGGCAGGGTGCGACGGGGCCGGGCGGGTGCGACGGGGCCGGGCAGGTGCGACGGGGCCGGGCAGGGGGCGATGGGGCCGGGCAGGGCGCGACAGGGCCTGAAGGCTTGACGCGGCCCAGGAGGGGCGCTACGAGGCCTAGGAGGGGCGTTACGGGGCCCAGGAGGGGCACTACAGGGCCCAGGAGGGGCCCAGGAGGGGCGCTACGGGGCCCAGGAGGGGCGCGACGGGGCCCAGGAGGGGCGCTACGGGGCCCAGGAGGGACACTACGGGGCGAGGGGCGCAACAAGGCCCGGGAGGGTCGCGACGGGGCTAGGGGGTCGCGACGGGGCCCAGGGGGTCGCGACGGGGCCCAGGGGGTCGCGACCGGGACTAGGGGGTCGCGACGGGGCCCAGGAGGGGCGCGGCAGGGCTAGGGGCACGACGGGGCCCAGTGGGTCGCGACGGGGCTAGGGGGGGGGGAGGCACGGCGGGGCCTAGCTAGGGGACGAGCGGAAGCGGTAGGTGGGGGGATCCTAACCTACGCGTGATACCATATCAAACTGAGAGAAATGAATGAGTTGGGTAGAGGGAGTGTACAGATAGATATACCTAAGTATTGTACCCTCTAGGAGGTGACCCTATACAGTCTATGCAAACATAACAATTACACATGTTTGACAGAGAGTGCCTTTTTTTGAAACGTCAGCACTGGTGATAGCGCATCAAAGGAGACTCAATTTTAGCCAATTGGTGAGGCACACAGACTTGCGAACTGTGCACTTGTGTGCCTCGTTACGAGCAGCTGTTCACCTCTTCAAGTGGTTTATGTAAGGCTCAAGGAATTCTCACACTGAGTACATGTATGTTTTGAGTCGTTCAACCATTGGAATTTGACGTACCACTATCGAGGATGGGAGTACAGTACCAAACTGGGCCTTTGTTGCGAACAATCAACCCTTACCTCCCACAAGCACCCTCACCGGGCTGTAGCTTACACTGGAAGTCAGGGTACTTACACTGCTTTGTCAAGGAAAACAGGTTGAAATTTTAACCTAGCCCAGCTTTTGATGCATTCAGAATATCGATATCCGTCCATAGACAGAGATGCCAGAATTATCCCACAGCCAATTTCCGAGTATGGGATAGACCCGCCCTGTAACATGTAATGTTAACGTTCGCGCCCCTAGTAATTTTTTTCCCCCGTGTCATTGCTAGGATTGGCAATTCCGAGCTTGACGAAACTCTTGCCTGCAAAAAACAGTCAAACGTTTTAGGGCTACCCAGCCTGGACGAGTTGGATCCCGGGCAAACTCAGAAACTGCAGGGTGACCCCTAGGATATCGAGAGGTCTGCCTGTAGGTCGGTGCTAGGCTTGGTTGGTGGTCTTGCCAAGAGCGTACACCTGATGCCTTTTCGGGAATTACTTTTATTTTAGACGGGTGCTTTTGTGTCGGACACAATCAACTCTCCTCACAGCTGGGCTTGTACATAGAACCAGGGTTACCACCTTGGCAGCGATGCTGTAAAAATGGGTGGTCTGCGCTGTTGTTTGTGTGAATATCCGTAACAGCCTGCACTTCGGCAGCAAATTCTGGGAGGCATTTCTTTGACCTCTGTGCACGTTTCTCGGAGGAGGAATCTTCACCTGAGATTGCGCCTGATTCTGAGGCCTGTACACCTCGGGCCGTTGCCCATAGAACCTGTCCAGTGGGACTCGGATGGATGGGCAGTTGGTTGAGCATCCTGTGTAGTCTAGTCTCCCTTCGAGCGACTCGCTTCCATATTCCTGCTCCTCGAATTGCCTCGTCCGTCCTGCTGATCAATCTTTATTCCAGAGGTCTGCGCCTCGATATAGTAAATTGTGCAGAGTCTTGCTGTTTGGTAGAATTAATAATAGCTAGGGTCTGCACTTCCATAATGCCGACATAGTAGTCACGCTTCGAGCGGCTCGTTTATCGCGTACGAAGTAGCCAGAATCCCACTCCACTCTCGCCAGCCGCCAGCACTGCAGATCACCGCCATGGGTCGCCACGACCCCTCTCGCCTGTTGACGCTCCGCCACCTGCTCCTCGCGCTCGCCCTGCTCTCGCTGCTGCTCGCGCTGCTGCCGCCGTCGCGCGCACAGCAGCCGGGCGTGTCGACGAAGATGGCGCGGGAGATCGCTCGGGCCAAGAGGCAGCTCAAGAAGATGCGCCTGTTTGGGCCCATCACCGACGTCATCGACCTCATACGTACGGCTTCTAGTGGTCAGATGTTGCGCTCAGTGGGTACAAAGCAGTAAGACAGGTCTGGAACTGCGGGATTGGGTGTTGACGGCGATGGCGCGGAAGATTCAGGGCGCGGAGAGGCAGCTCAGGAAGATGCGCGTCTTCGGCCCGACAGCGGACGTTACTGACCTCGTACGCGCGGATTCAGCGGCTGGTTTCGGGTTTGCCTCTTTCCATCCCGAAAACGATGGAAGACACGCAGTTAGGGTTCGGATGTGGCAGTTAGGGTTCGCAAGTGGGAATGCGGTCGGCGGTGGGAGCATTCAGGCCGCAGTGAACGCCTTCGGGGAGCTCATGGCCTGGCCGTTTCGGTTCCTCATTGCTCAGCAGATCTCCACTTCCGCCCTTCCCCCGTCGCTCAGTGAGCCGTCGCCATTGACGAATCCGCTCCTGCTGTTCCGCTGCACGGCGCACATCTGCTCTCCTGCTCCAAGAAATTGAGTGTGGCCGCGTCGAAGGCCCTCGCTCTCGCCATTTAATCCAACCACTCCCTTCGCGCTCTCCCTCCCCCCCACCCCCCTCCCCCCCCCCTCTCCCGCCCCCCTCTTCCCCACTTTCCCCCCGAGTTCGCCTCCTTCCCTCCCCCCCTCCCCCCCCTTCCCGCCCCCACCTCATCCACCGCTCGGTTCGGCCCGTTATGCCGCCTTCCCCCCACCCACCCACCCCCCCGCCTCCATCCTCTCGCAGTGACGTCACTCATCCCGCTGAACGATGTCACCATTCTCCTCCCCCTACACGCGCGCCATCCGCTTCTTCATGGCGGCCTTCTCCTCGCAGACCCAGCAGCAGGTCATCGCCTACCCCGTGTCCCTGTGTGCTTGACCTCTGCCGCCCGCATCCACCCACTCACTTCGACCTCTTCCCCCTCCCCCATCCCCCTCTCCCCCTTTTCCTTCCAACCCCTATCTCCTCCCCTCTCCCCCCCTTGTCTCTCTCCCCTCTCACAGTGACGTCACTCATCCCGCTCAATGACGTCACCATCCTGCTGCCAGTGCACGCACGCACCATCCGCTTCTTCATGGGCGCCTTCTCGTCGCAGAAGCAGCAGCAGCTGATAGCTTATCACATCCTGGAGGGTCGCTACGACTACCGCCGCCTGCGCTACCTGCCCAAGGGGCGCAAGCTCAACACGCTGGAGGGCACGCAGATAGTCAAGCGCGGCCGCAAGGGCGGGCTGCTGGTGGCGCTCAAGGGTAAGGGCGGCGCGCCGGTGCCCATTGTCATGCCGAACCTGTTCAACGGGTCGCAGTTCACCATCCATGCCGTGTCCGAGATGGTGGTGCCACATGACATCTACTAGGGCGCCTGGGGAGCTGCTTTATGAGTCAGCCAAGGCAGCACAGGGTTCGGTATGGTTCGGCCACAGTGCACCATCCATGCGGTGGCGGAGATGGTGGGGCCGTGAGACGTACTGATGGTGCAGTCATAGTCAACGTAGGAAGCAGAGGGCTGACTCTCATCGCTCGCGCTGCACCATCCCTGCGGTCGCTCGCACGGGTCCGACTGGAATCGTCTGATGCTGGGGTGGAGGAGGGGCGTCGAGGCTGGTTGGGTATGGAACCCAACGGTGAGACAGGGGTTTGGGGGTGTGTAGGGCTGGCAGCGCCGGTGGCACCGGCATGGTCTTGCTGGTGGTGCAGGGCAGGCGTGGGACAGTGGCAGCTCAGCACGTGGCTGCAGTCGTTGGGGAGAGCAGCTGGGTTGGGGGAGAATGGCTGAAGTGGAGGGATGCGGTTGGAGCAGTGGGAGAGGGGGCCGGTCTGGAAGGACAGTCACGCAGACTGCTCATACGGCATGCCTGCATCGCCGCTCCTTGGGTTCCTGCATTGACCTCCGCCTAGCACACTGGGCAATCAACTGACTAACATAAGCCACAAATGGGGATTGGCTGGGAATGGCGAACAGCGAGATAAGGACTGTACATTTGAGAAAGACAGGTAGCTGTGACGAGGTGAGATTTGGCACAACGGAGTTGGATGGGATGGGAGTGAGCAGAATAGACAGGGAAGAAGGGCCAGCGGGTAGTGCATGCATTGGCTTGAAGGGGAGCAATGGATGTCGAAGAGGGAGAAAAGGGTACAAGCAACAGATGGACTGATGGTGGTCACAATTCATGCAAGTACCGGTAAATGTTTTTTTTGCATAAGTTTGTGTGAATGTGATTGGTTTTGTTTATTCATATTCTGATTCTATTACCGTAATCCCCCGCATATAACACCCGCCGGAATAGTCACTCCATCGGTGGTTAATACAGGGGGGGAGCTTATGATCAGGGCTCCTGCTAGGTTTTAGGGCAATCTGAAAATCAGACGGGTACTTAGAGCTTCGTCTGACTGTCAGACGGATTTTTTTTGCCTGTCTTACGATTCAGACGAAATGCAAGCACGTGTCTGAGAATTCAGACTGTTTATGTGCGCTGGACTGTTTTGCTGCCGCGCTCGGGGTAGAATTGAATGCGCGTGCTGCGGTGCACATGGGACCAGGTGGCAGGCAGTGGCCCAATGGGCATGTGTGTTAAAGTGAGAACTGAATAATTGAATAGAGGGAGAGAACAAGGGTATATACCTAAGAGAATGTGTCAGAAACCCAGTCACTAACCACTGGGTTAAAAGGGCTTGTTGAATAGCGGGTAAGTGCGCCCATAGCCCCCCAGGCTCTGCACCTGTGGCCCTTCCCCGAGGATCTCAAGGGCAACCCCAGCGGGTCACTCAACAAAATGTACCCTCCAAGAGGTGACCCTACACAGTCTATACAAATATGAGTTATACATATATTTGACACACCCCCTAGACTGCATAGGGGCAAATCCTGAACAAGCAGCTCAGGGCGGCACTACTAGTCCAGCCACTGAGACAAGGGTCTAAAGACCAGTCAAAAGGAGTACAGGCAAGACAAGAACAAGACCAGGGAGGCACTACTAGTCCAGCCACTGGGAAAGGACACAAGTCCAGTCTGAGTACATATATAGATATGTATAGGACAGTACAAAGTCAAGGTCCTAGCAAGTGAGAGGCTACAGGAACTAGACCGAGCTGTACACAGTGCCGCTGATGATCTTTAGGCGCAAGCGCCTTCGTAAAGATATCAGCTGTGTTGGCACCAGAGGCCAAGTGAACTACGCGGGCCTGGCGACGCTGCTGTAGCTCGCGCAGGAGGAAGTACCGCAGCTAAATGTGCTTCGCTCTGCCCTCAAATCGAGGCTCCTGACACAGGAGTATCATGGCCCTGTTGTCAGCGTACAGGACCGGGGCAGAGCTAGGCCGCTCACCTAAATCTGTGTGCAAGAAGGTCAGCCAGCGGAGCTCCTGTGCCGCCATGGTACCAGCGTAGATCTCAGCCTCACAGCTCGATTGAGCAACAGACGACGAACGAGTGGATCTCTAAGAGATAGCACCCGAACCAAGGCTAAAACAGTAGCCCTGCGACGACCTGAGCGTCTCAAAGTCGTCTGCCCAAGAAGCGTCTGTGTGCCCAGTGAGGACCACTGGCCTGCGTCCTCCTAGCACTAACCCCATGCCTGATGTACTTGCTAGATATCGCAAAACCCTCTTAGCTGCCGACCAGTGCTGTGGTCGGTGTCTGCCAGTGGCCACAAAGCGAGCCAGGATGCTGAGAGAGTATGCGAGATCTGGGCGAGTGCAGGTCATCAAGTACATGAGGCAACCCACCAGCTCTGCGTAGGGGCCGCTGGGCTCTACTGACTCCTCAGGAACAGGAGCGGAAAGCCCGTGGTCTACAGGTAGAGGTGTGGGCTGTGCCGAGGAGAACTGAAGACCAAACCTCTGAAGGACCTGACGCACCAAGTGTGACTGGGTCAGAGTGATGGTGCGTGCTGCTCTGTCCCTAGAGATCTGAAGGCCAAGATAGCGACGCAGCTCTCCAAGATCAGTGCAGGTGTGTCTCTTCAGCAGCTCAGTCTTCACAGAGGCCAGTGCGTCCCTGTCAGGAGTAGCGAAGACGAGGTCATCTACGTAGACAAGGATGTAGAACGGAGTCTGGCCGGCACGCACAAACAGTGAAGGGTCAGCAGAGGACGGAAAGAACTGCAGGTCTGCTAACGCGGCACGTAGCGTGTCGTGCCACTCGCGGGGAGCCTGACGCAGGCCGTAGACCGGGCGCCTGAGAAGCCACCGGGTCCCAGGAGGGAAGGTACCAGTGAAGCCCTGTGGTCGGCGCAGGTAGACCTGCTCGTGTAGGCTGCTCTGAAGAAAGGCAGTAGAGAAGTCGAGGGAGTGAAGCTCGTAGTCACGCTGTGCTGCTACGTGTAGCAGCGCCCGAAGAGTGGTCATCTTCGGGGTCGGGGCGAAGGTCTGGAAGAAGTCAACCCCCTCGCGTTGACTGAAACCTCTGGCCACGTAGCGCGCCTTGAAGACAGGCGGCTCTCCAGGGGGGCGTTTCACCTTGAAGAGCCACCGACCATCGACTACGTTCACCCCAGGCGGGGGAACTGCGTCGACGTAAGTGCCGGTGGACCTCCAAGATGCCATCTCCTGCTCCATGGCAGCTATCCACTGAGAGGCCCAAGGTCCCGAGGTGGCCTCAGCGTAGGTGCGAGGGGTCGGGATGTCGAAGGCGTCTGGGTCACCCTCAGGGACTAAAAGCATGGAGCAGAGATGGGGAGCAGCCTCGGACAGGAAAGCAAGCTCGTACTGCCTGTCCTCTAGGACGTCACTGCCAAGGGCAGGAGCACCCCCGACGGACGGAGGACGGGCATGGTCAGAGACCAGAGCGGTAGCGTAGTCAAGGCGACGTGTAGAGGCGAAGTCAGCGACAGCAGCGACAAGCGCGTCAAGGCGCGAGACAGGAACAGAAGGGTCGGTAACAAGAGAGGCAAGGACCCGAGGGACAAGGGGACGAGCAGCACGGAGGTAGTCAGAGAACGGAGGAGGTGCAACAGCAAGGGACGAGGGAGGAGGGGACGGGAGGAGAGGAGGATGAGACGAGCGGGAACGGAGCAACATAGGGTGGGTGGGCAGGACAGGAGAGACGACACGAGCACGGGAGGGACGACAAGCCCAAACGTGAGACGGAGGGGTAGGGTTAGGGGACAGCGGAGGAGACACAGGAGGGGAACGAGGAGGAAGACGGGCCGGAGCAAGTCCGGCGGCGGGAAAGCAAGACCGTAGACAGGAAGGTCACCGGGCGGTGGGGGAGACATCGGCGCGCGGTCCGGGGAGGGAAGGCCGAGTAGGCGGAGAGCAGAGACCGGTGGCGACGGCTGCTGCGGCGGCGACGACGGCTGGGCCGGAACTCTCGGACCGGCAGAGGCAGAACGACCGTCGGCAGAACACTCAACAGCAGCACCCCCAGAACCAACACCCCCAGAGCGAGAACCCCCTCCAACACCAGCGGCACCCCAAGAAGCTGCAGGACGAACACCCTCCTCCACACCAGCACCCCCAGGGGCCAAGAGCGGCGGCGGCAGTGGCGGCGACGACTGCGGCGGCGACGGCTGCGGCGGCGGCGACAGCGGCGACGGCTGCGGCGGCGACGGCGACGGCGGCTGCAGCGGGGTCGGCGACTGTGACAGTGGGGGCGGAGGCACTGGGGAAGGGGGACGCGGCAAGGACAGACCGGGGGTACCACCAGAGTCAGCAGACTCCTCAACGGGGACAACCGATGGGAGGGGAGTGACGTGAGAGACACCAGACGGGGCAGGACGAGGCGGGAGAGGGGCAGGGGCTACCGGGGGAGAGGGAGCAAGGAACAGGGGGGGGTCAACTGAGAGGCCTCGGTGAGGGAAGCGGCGGTAAAAGGAGACGGACTCGTCAAAGGTAACGTCACGAGAGTGGAGGAAGCGGTGAGACGGCGGGTGATAGAAAAGCCAGTCAGACGAGTCCAGGGGGAAACCGAGGAAGACACAGGGGACAGTGCGGGCAGTGAGCTTGTCCGTGCCAGAGGCACGAACGTGAGCAAGGCAGCCCCAGACGTGGAACGCAGACGCGTCACCGGGGGACCCGGTCCAAAGGAGGGTCGGCGAAACCTGCGGCCGCTGGGAGCGTGGCCACAGGTTAAGCTAGTGAGGAGCGTAGCGAACAGCGAACGGCCACAGAAAATGGGGGGCATCGGCATGGATCATGGAGGTGCGAGCGACCTCCATGACCAAGCCGATGCGGCGCTCAGCAACCCCATTCTGCTGTGGCGAGTCCGGCAAGGTGTACGACTGGGTGATGCCCTCCGCACGACAGAACCGTCCAAGCCGACCAGAGGCGAACTCGCCGCCACGGTCGGAGTGGAGACACAACACGGGGAGACCGCGGTGGAGACGCGCAGCCACAACCCACAGGAGAAGAACGTCGGGCACGTCGGCCTTCCGCTCCAGGGGAAACACTGTGGTATAGCGCGTGTAGTCGTCGACGAGCACAAGAAAGTAGCGCTCACCGCGCGGTCCGGGGACGGGGGCAGGGCCCCAAACGTCCAGGTGCAGGGTCTGAGGGGGGGCAGTAGCAGGGCGCAGCGAGGAGGAGTGAGGAGCACGGCGGAGCCGACCCTCGACGCAAGGCGTGCACGGTGGCGCAGTTGAGGGAGGAAGGGCAGGGAGCGACGCCGGGATACCTAAGACAAGACTGTGCTGGGACATGTGACGCAGACGCGGAAGAGCAGGGTGACCTAAGCGGTGGTGCCAGAGAAGGGACGGGTGAGTGAGGGAACGACACGAGCAAGCTGCAGCAACCTGGGAGGACGCACCAACCGGAGGGGAAGCGGTGTCTAGGGTAAACAGACCGGACAACGGGTCCCTGGGGAATGTCGCAAGGAGGGAACCTGATGCAGACTCAGAACAGACAGCGAACCGCTCGTGCCCGGGGAACGTGGTGGTGACGCCGAGGTCCTAGAGACAGCCGACACCAACCAGGTTCCTCGAGAACGAGGGAACGTGGAGGCCTGTAAGGGAGCCCGAGGGAATGGCTGGACAGGGAAGGGGCGTAGAACTGCGAGCGACGACAGGACCTGCAGAGGGGTCGGCGAGAGAGACGACAGCTGGCGTAGCAAGCTTAAGTGCGGAACGGTCGCGGAAGAAGCAGGCAGAAGCACCGGAGTCGAGAGTGAAGGACAGCACAGCAGTGGCAGGGGCGGGGAACGGAGCCGGTCCAGAGGCGAGGCTAGACAAACTAGGCAGTCCTACGCCTGACGCAGTAGGGGAGGCTAGGCTACACAACGGTGCAACACCTAAACTAGAGAACACATGATAATAAGA